TTGTTGTTGTTGTTGTTGTTGCTGCTGCTGCTGCTGCTGCTGTTGTTGCTGTTGTTGTTGTTGAGGTTGTTGCTGCTGTTGTTGTTGCTGCTCTCGCCGTCTCTGTCGTTTCTCTTCGAGTTCTTTTTGGATTTTGTAAATCTTCTCGGCCAAAAGGTGGTAGTACTCCTCACGTGAATTCGCCTGATCGTACATATCTCCTTCAACCTTCTTGGCGTATGCGACAAGATTTACCATTCGACGATCTTGCATAGCGTTCGGGTCTGGCGTTGGAAAAATAGCCTGGACGATCTTTTGCACAAGATGCTGACGTAGGTCACGGGTGACTGAATTATGCCACTCCTTGGCGCCCGGCTGTCCAGCTTGCTGATTGTTCATCCTATTTGGCGACACGGGCGCCATGAAGGGGCTGTGAGATGGCGGTGGGGTTGGGTTAGGCGCCGGCTGAGATCCTGGTGTTACCCCTACGCCCCCCATGCCGCTTCCCGGACCAACTGACCCCATACTACCAACGATTTGGCTCGCCTAAATGCACATCAAAAGGAAGAGGCAATGAGAAGAAAGAAAATGGTTATATAGAAATGCGTAATAACAAACCTTACTCGGAAACAAATTTTAACAAAGAGAAAATATGATCTTTGGATAGACGCATATCGAGCAATTTAAGTTTTTTAGAACACTGTTCATACATATATCAAATGTATGCGCGCGATTTAGTCGCTTACCTGGTTTTGTGACGGAGCATATGGTAGACCAAGAGCAGCATACGCCCGCTGCATATCGGCAGGTGACGCCTGTTGCGAATTCTGCTGTGGTTGCTGCTGGGGTCCAGGTATTGAGTTCTGCGGAGCTTGCTGCCGTACGCCTGGCCCAATGGGTACGCCGGTCTGCGGGCCGATAGGACCCGATTGCTGTCCGGTCATGTTGTTGGGAGCCCCCGGGCCAGCCTGGCTTTGACCAAGGCCAGGCTGACCACTGGGCTGCTGGCTCGGACCCCCTTGCTGCGGTGCGCCCTGACCCTGTGGAGGTCCCTGTTGACCTGGTATACCTCCCGGCATGAGCTGCCCGGGGCCTTGGCCCACCTGTCCAGAAGGGGCTTGTTGTTGGCCCTGCTGGCCCGGCTGGTTACCCTGCCTTCGATCTCCAGCCTGCTTGAGAGGAAGACAAATCGGACAATCGTTGCGCGTACAGTTCTTCCAGTGGGAGATAATCTGGCGCGATGATGTACAATGCGTTACCGAGCAGTCCCTTCCGTCCATACATTGTGACATGTGGTTGAGGACAGTCTTCATCGTTCTGCAGTGTGGCACCATGCATTGCCTTTGCTGTGCACCACCGGGAATAGCGCCATTCTGGTGCTCACGCCTCTGGCATTTATGTGCATGCAGCAAAAGCACCAACTGCTGCTGAATTAGTTTTCTTTTTTCGGGATCACCGGCCGCCTGTCCTGCGCCAGGACCTGGCCCCTGTCCACTGGGTCCTCCTGGACCTCCGGCCGTCGGTCCTACGACTGGACCGTTACCGCTTCCAGAAGCGCCACCTGGTCCGCCTGCGGATCACCAGACATCCGACGGAAGGGAAACCAACCACAATGGTAAAGGTTAATAACAACAGCTTTATAGTCAGCCCGAGTTTTGGCTTAATGATTCTATCAAAGCATAGTTTGTTATATATATATATAATTACGCTTATAGCATAAACAATATGTAAAAAGTAAAAAAATATGCGCAATATAAGTATTAGAAAAGACAAAAACAATTACTAGAGTGTGACTGAAGTATAGTGAGACATCCTGGTTAACAAACTAGCTTATCCTTCTCTGCAGGCTAAAGTAGATTATAATGTATTGGTACTTATGTAACACCATTTTGACATATGGTACTCTCATGATCATTTAAAGAAGGGTCGCGAAAGACTCGAATAGGTTTAAGCTAAGTATACAAGATTCCCAGCTTATAATTACAGAGTATAAAATTTTTTAACCGATCTCTACCTGATCCATGCGCATTGTCTCCAGTTGCACACAAAACTCAAACATCGATAGCGATTATGCAGCATAGATTTAAAATTTGTTATAGCAAATACCGAATCTCTCGAAAATGCTCAACCCAAAACTAGTGCCAAGATAAGTACCATAAAAAATATGTTTGACTGCCGTATTTGCAAAAAAATTGCTTTAACTTACTTCTTGACATGTAACAAGAATCGATAACAGTAACAAGTGTTCTGTACCTTGCGACGCATTCATGGGTGCCGCGTTAATCCCAGTCGGTAGCCCCGGTTGACTGGGTGCATTAGGTCCTTGGTTCTGAGGTGGTCCTTGCTGCTGAGGATTCATAGGACCTTGATTCATCATAGGGCCTGCTGGACAAATTGGCCCGCCCACAACGGCACCTTGCACACCTTGATGTCCTACAACATTTTGATTCACTTGGCCGACTTGCCCAGACTGGTTTATTATATGATTGCCCATAGGACCTGTCTGGCCTGTTTGTATATCGCTCATCATTTGATACCTGAAATTTGTTAACAACAAACGGCGTTCTCATTCTTGTTTAGACCATGAATGTTCTTTAGGTGCAGCTACCTCAGGAGTCAATGATAATCAATTAAATCGGTTCAGGTTGTTAATTTGAAGTATGACGTATGCGACGGCATAGCGCAAATACAAGAAACAGATGCGGACCAACATTTTTTTTTGAAACTCTACTTATACTAGTTTTTAGTTAATTTTTGTTATACCTGCTTCTCCGACCCAATTGATTGAACACGGAACTGTAAATTCTCATTATGCAGTTCAATTGTTGTAAACCAATTAAGAACGTTACCTGGGTCTTTTACGCTCCGGCGAATAATGAAATCCAACACAGCGCATCTTGAACTTGTATATCCTTTACGGTTCCTCAACGCCGTAAAGACTTAATTTAAAACTAATTTCTAATACAACACAATATTTTGTCTTAACAACCGTGCAAAGAATCGTCGCATGAATACGGTCAGTTAACTTTTTATCGGCACAAGCACAATTCACTGAATGTCATAGTTCTGTTAGAATATGCTATTCAACCGAATCAACCTGTACGTCATTACCCTGTAATTTACAGTAAATTCGAAACGTCGATAAATACCAACAAATGCTCTGGATAACAGAACAAAAAAACCGTCAAGAAGGGCAAGTTGAATTGGCTTGAAATCTGAACGTGTCAGAAAACACACACTTATCTAGTTTTAAGAGTCACATAAAAAACCTATGAGTTGCCACATTCTTGAATAGCATTCATCAGTAGTCGCACCAATCGCAACAGAGCGTTAAGTTCGTTGATAGTATCACACCGAAACGGCACAGTTTGACAGTCAAGCCAGCATATGATCGCACATTGGTTGACCAAAAACATCACATCTTGTGGCTCTATTTAGCAACCCACTCCTTTTGTTTTACAACACACAGCAGACGACATCGTAGGCGAAACGCGGCTAGCAAAATTATACATCGAAATACGGCAAGAGTGAAAGATAGGGACGGAGAGAGTGGAAAGAGCAGAGGACACGATGCCAATTTCGCTATAATAAATATGCTTTAAAAGCAACAAGGTAGATTTGGTTTATCTTATGCGTGTCCTATCAAAATTCCGGCACTTCTTGTTTAGCAGACTTTTTCTGAAGTGATAGTGGAAGAAACGATACAAGATACGCTCAAGAATAGCGGAGGATAGCGTTTTAAGCTCTGTTTTTATAAACTCCGTGCACGTCCACTTTTCGAAAAAAGTTATGGTTCTGTTGAATTCAGCTGACTGCCTTGAATGGTTTTTATCTCTGTCTTTCGAGTTTTACATCCGTTATCGCCGTTAGGCATTCCGTTAGACGGCTGGCTCCCAGCATGAAACGAAAAATGGTTTTTACCTGGCAGGCTGTTGCTGGACCATAATTGGTCGTTGTTGTTGTTGTTGGGCCTGCATGGGCGTTTGTTGCGCGATTGACATGAGACCTGGTCCGTAATGCGGCGGCTGTCCTCCGAAACGATTTCCGAGGGTCTGACCTGGTCCACGCATTCCGCCTGTTGGCCCGTTGCTCACTAATATCGTTTTGTTCACCCCTTGAGATAACATTTGCCCTGTAATACAGTCAATAATACTTGATTAGCAGTTTGAGAAATTACGTAAACACGCAATCGAGTAAAAACCTGCACTTCCGATATAAAAAGAAACGATAGTTGCTCTCTTAATAAGAATAGCTACCGTCATAACAATAGAGTTTTCATTTAATTATGATAAACACAGGATTGCTACATTTGAACTTCTTGCTAACTAGTAGGTACCTACTGATTTGGTAACACTGATAAGGTGTAGAACGGGTGAGTGCAACCACTGCATCTGAGTCCATTTTTTTTCGTAGACGTTGGTCGCTGTCATAATTGATAATAATGTTCCTCTAATATTATATTTTCCAATTTCATTTGATCAACTAGTTTAAAGTCTTCCGTTGCCAAAGAACGACATTTGACTACTTTATATATTATATGATACAAAGCGTCTAAGGAAAACATCGGTAATTCATACTCATGCGTACGTTTGTACTGGATGCACAGACGTACCCGGTTCTCCCACATCACGTCGGTGCCTTCTGCAGACTTTACCTTGAATAAATTTTTATTCGACCTCCACGAGGTATAGTCTGCCCTCATGTGACATAATTGTCGCAGCTTCAATAAGGTTTACTTGCTTAAATATTTTTCAAGGCCTTAGCAATGACCGTTTTCGTCGCTAGTGTAACCTTCAAAAGCAAAGAGATTTTTGGCATTTTCGAAGGTATAGACCGAAAATGCAAATAAAGCACGTATGTTTACCTGAAGAACAGACCATAACTATTCTTCAATTAACATACGCCAATAGCAGCGTTATTTATACACACAGCATCGCATTGCTGTATAATTGTTAATCGCTGAATCCTCTAAAACTAGAAGATCAGTAAATCAACACTTCTAATCGCGGATAAATTTACGGTTAAAGAATTTGCATCTGAAGGCAATGAAACAAAGGCGACGAAACGTACAATCTACAGTTGGACGCCTTATAACTTTTTATTAAACCTCATGTCCAGTCCATACACTACTTACTGAAATATTGATCATCAATTTTATATACTAATTAGCAATCGAGCAAATCATTAGATAATTCAATGATCGAGGTAGTTTCGTGTTGAAAGAGTTCTGTGGCTAACCTCGGAACCGACAAAAATCGATTTTAGCACATGTTACGTTTACTTCAAGAGACCTGGGATAGGTACCCAGAAGGGGCGTTTGTGTCCGATTAACTATGATCAGTATGCACGGTACTTACTGTGACACAGAATTTTCTAAATAATTCAAATGCTTAACTTATTAACTGCTCCGAATGTAATCGCTAACACGCGATTTTCAGGGTTCGGAGTCGTCCAAGTCAATTATAACGGTATAATTCGAAGTAACATATCCCTATATGGTTCTTCAAAAAACTTTGCACCTAGATAACCATTGTTGGAAACTCATCCGAATTCTGGTAGAGATGCGACTGAGAAAGACTAAGTACATCAATTGTTGACCGTACAGATTCAATGTAGAGGCTAGTGAGAATTATGATCTTCTATTTGACAAAGTTCAGCGCCGAATTACTTTTGTTTGCAGACATCGTGATGCGATGCAGTCTAACGTTCGTATATACTGAACATAGAACGACGAAAGTCTATTCGGAGCACTTTAATTAACGCTCCGATCCGCCGCCTTGTTTATTATTTCCAATATCAGATCGGTTTTATAACCTGACTAATATGGAGGTCACACCACCGTCAGGAGTAGTAATGATCGAACAACTGCAGCAAGTGTCCTATCGGTGCAAGAAGTTCGAATATGGAAACTGGCAGGTTGAAGAGGACCACAAGAGGTGGAATAAAAAAGCTAAGAAAATGTCCCAAAATGTTCGTAAAAAATACGAAGCCAATACAACTCTTAACTGATCTACATTATTATTATTAAAGTGAAACCTCTATAAAACGGAAACATACTAATAAGACCGTAAATTTGGAGTGCAATTTTAACAAACTAAAATTATTATATTTAGTGTTACTAATTATTACTAATTATTCTTGGCTTAGTACGCAATGTGCTATAGATCTGACGTGAAATAGGCGTAATACCTTACTACTTAATCTAAGGATGCAACATTATCCTTGAGCTAATTATTACCCCGAATTAATAAAACTTCACCATACTAAATATAAATATATTATATAATAGTAATCAGTTTGGAACACTCTGAGAGGCTTAGCGCTATACACGTGAATACCTTACTAACTCACTTAGTCTAGAGGTTCATCATCAACCCTTAAATATGTATGTATATTGATCAATTTGTAGTCTTTGACATAAATAAAAACGATGATAAAAAAATGATAAGAATTACATTTAGTAATGTGCAACACGTTATTAAGGAAAGCTTGGTTCCATCTCCTACGTACAGATTGAACTAAACACAAATAAGGCATAAGTGTTAAAAAAGATACATTTTTACAATTATATCGAATACAGTATGCCAACAAACATGAACAGTGAATATGTGAGCGAATGACACGGTATGTCCTTGAAATATTCCTTATAACATTTTTAATAAGCATAAGATATCCTAACCCCGAAAGAACTGCTAGACGAGAGCTGATTTGCTGGATACGTACCCAGTGAAGTGTTGACAACCGTGTTCTGGGGTGGCTTATTCTGCAGCAATTGCGATAGGTGCTGATGCTGTTGAATAACGTTGGACGGCGGAGGTTGCTGGGGTTGTTGAGGTACGGGCGGCTGGCCAAGCATCTGAGAAAGCTGTGGATTTGGTACCCCAGTGCCTTGCTGTACCGGGCCCACTCCAACCTGACCGCCGTTCGGGTCAACCGGGCCTGCACCATTGGCCATCTGGCCACCCGGAGGTAACCCGTTCTGCGCGCCATTTTGATGACCCAGACCCCCGCCGGTACCAGTCATCAACTCTTCGGGCAACTCCGCTTCGAGGTCGAGAAGCGCATTGAAGTCTGCAAGATGAGAAAGCAACACGGTTAAAAAGAAAAACACGTAAAACAATGCACCTGCTTGGTATAACCACAATGTGGCAATCAATTAATTTTTATCATATTTTGACATTTTAGGAATCCTTATTTTTCTGCTTCTTTCCCTATACAATTTTCCCACACCGTTTAGCACTAATATGTCGATTTTAAAAACATCAAACACGAATTTCGTTTTTAAGTAATCAATACATTTTTCAATATAATGATGAACGTGAATCTTGTATACCCATTAACTAAACGGATGATTACAATGAATTGATACGTCTCCTAGCAGATCTTAGATTCTATTAATTATATTGTATATCGCCAACACTTATAGCTAACACCAATATTATAATAAGTCTTTATGAATCTTTAAAAGACCGCAACTAGCGCTTTTTTACTAAATCCGAACCATACTTTACAGTTGATGGTGTTTAACTTCAGCTCAGTGAAAAACCCATAGTAACCCCGTTTGATTCAGTTACTTTTTTATTAAGTAGAGACCTGTCAGTATTGGAACTTATATTCAAGCATGAGCTTTTTTTTCCTCTAAGCATGAGCTTAGATCACAGTCATCACATACTTGGCCATCTTACTCTTATTTCAACATTATAGTGTTTAATAAAATATCCGAACTCAGTAATGCTCACTTCTTCTTTACCCTCCTTCGTATCTATGTTTCGAAGGCCTAATATCTCTACGAAAAAGAAGTAGCCTTTTTAACAAGAAACGGCTGAAAACTAAGTGAACCATTTGGAACGCGCACACAATACTGCGGTGAGTTTACACACTGTTCACTTGATGCTAATGAAATTAGCAGGGAGTAATGCTGTGTTTAACATACGCATAAACACACAAAATACGCGCAGGCAACGACTGGGACCCACAAGACAAAACCCACAGCGGATACCCGTATCAGCATTATATGTGACTTGGACCTATGTTTCTATTCCTTTTGTTCCCTTTTCGCAGTAATAACACCATCATCACTCTGGCTATGCTGGCTAAACTTACAAAACAAACACTCGTCGTGTATCCCTTACAAAATTTCCTTCAAGAGTAACACGTTTCGTCACGTAATACTAACCTCCCATTGTCGGGTCGGAGACCTTGGGCCTCTTGGTCGGAGGCCCGGCATCCACAAGGTGGTCGGCCATGCTTGCGGAGGGTGCGGGGAGGCTGCGCTGGCCTGTATCAGCAACCCCTCCCAAAGCCTCGCGCGTCTTCACGGCGCGTCCTCTGACCGCTTCTCTATCGCGCCGAGGCCCTCCGGGCCCTGGCGAGCGGGCTACCGTTGTAGAGACTCGAATGGATCACTACTGCTGCTGCTGCGTGTGTGTCACGGACGGCATCCTGCATCTTAGAGACGGACGCGGGACGAACAGTCACATAGACAGCGTACAAATTCCACGGCGGAGGAAGGAAGGGGTTGAATAAAGTCAGCCACTATTGGAAGATTTATGGATATAATGCGATTGAAGATACCAACGGGATGAGCATCAGACGATAACAACAATCGAGGGATCGCAAAAAGCGAAGATTGCCGGGTTGATGAGCTGGCTGGCAGTCAAAGTTTCTTTATTTTCCTGTCTGTCCGCTGTCTTTAGCTGAATGGGAACACTTGGCGCACTTTACTCAATCACCATTCGAGTTCTTGTGATTGATGCAGTTCTGGTTTTCAACAGTCGACCGTTGATTTTGCTTTACTATTATAATTATTATTTTTATTATTGTACGGCTATCCGGCTATTTTAGTAGTGTTACTGTTATTGGATTGCAGTCGCAACTGTCCGTGTCGAAGCAGCTGCAGGTGTAGCTGTTGATGCTATTGCCGCTGCTTTGTCCACCTTGCACAATACACAAATCACTAACTAGGCACAAGCGTTAATATTATGATTATTATTGTCAGTAGCTGGCAGTGGGCCGCTGTGCGTCGCAGTACGTCACGATACAAACACCAGTACAACAGCACCCCACCGCAGAGCTGTTTGTTGCCCGTCGTCACAGCCTGCCCGCCTAACGGAGTCCTTAAGGGAACTGTGCTCCTTATCGTTAGTAGCTACACAAACGAACGAATGAATATTTAAGCCAAATCGATGTTGAAATTGTTGAGATTAGTTTAGGGCTTGTTCTTTTGTTTTCTTGAGTTGGGCTTTTTGCACTCACTTGCAAAACAGTGAGAACTCCGTCAGGCGCATAAAGAGAACAGTAATGGAGGTGAGAGCAGGACCGCTACTGGATTTGCCTGCGTTCGTGCGTGTGGTTTGCACACTAGCTAGACCGAGGGCATCCAGTCACACATGGACCCGAAGGCTATCACGCACAACTTGAGCCCAGCGCGAAGACTCCCCCGACACAGCAATGCACGACATACGGTATTGTACAATGTACGATGATTAGTAACGATATTCGATTTTATTGACTTCTTCGTAGCCTGGCTAAGTTGATTTGACTTGCTCTCTTTCGGCGCTTGTTCACTATGAGCGCAAGCGAGCGTCTTCTTCCTTCATTCGACTTCGATCTTCTTCGCTCGCCGCTGGTCACTCGGCTACGTTAACGTTCAGCTTATACGACCCTCGCTGCTGTTGGTGTTAGTGGCGATGATGCTGCTGCTGCTGTGAATGCCGTCGTCGCTGTTAGTTGTTCTGCTGCTGCAAACTTCTGCTTCACTCCGGGCCATGTCGCTATCACACCTGAAATTGAAACGCACACAGAGACACACACACATACACACACGTCGAAAGAAAGACGCCATACACAACATAACAATATTAGACACATTAGATAGTGTATAGAAAGCTCGAACGGTGAGTAACACTGCACATAGCTAGCTTACGAAGCCGCCCCCTCCCCTGGAAAACAAATTTTCTCATAATTTACGTCGTCCTGAGCATCCAGCAACAACAACAACAACAGCAGCAGCAGCAGCAGCAGCAGCAACAACAACAACAACAACAAGGAATGCAGCCTGGCGGTCCCGTCGGGGCATCGGCGGCAGGACAAGCTCCTGGGCCGGGTCCTTCAATGCGAATGCCAGGACCACTTCCTGGTCCGCCACCCAGTCAACCACAGATTGGTTTACGCGGACAGCCACCACCCAACGTCACTATCAACAATACGATGACTGGCCCACCCAGTTTTCAAGGCCAAGGCATGCCCCAGTCAGGAATGGGTCCTAATTCCAATTTCCTGAACAACCAACAGCCGCAAACTGGACCAGGACCTATGGGAGCACCGTCACATCAACCAGCTCAGACACAACAACAAATCAATGACTTCAACCAGCAACAAGCTCAATTCGAGCAGGTATGAAGATACCATCGAACCAAATAGCGGGCTTAGTGTTTATTAAGCTGTTCACAACTAAATCCGCAAAACTCTTTTGCTTCTTCTTTATCTTCACAGTATTCCAGGTGATTTACATAATTTTTATAAATGACGTATATTATCACTTAATCTCGTACGTATTCATTAAACCCAATTGATTGTTTTTTCTTTTTGTTTACATTTCTAAAATTAGAACAGCTAAGTAACTAAGCATTTCCTATTTTAGAATAATTGCTCGTTGGTATTAAGTAATTTTTTCCGATGGTCTGTTTTTTCTTGCCAGGTAATGAAGCAGCGCCAAATGCAGCAAAGTGGCGGTCCGGTGGTGGCCATGGCCAGTTCGCAAGGTGGTCCAGGAACGTTAGGTATTGGAGGGCCACTTGGCACGAACCAGCAGCAACAACAACAGCAACAGCAGTCGAACGGAGGTCAGAATAACGGCCAACTAACTGCGCAACCTGGTCATGGCCAGCCGGGGTCCGGGTCGACGATGGGCGGCGGTTCTGGTCTGATGCCGCCACGCACGGCGCTCGGCGGTGGCCTTATGAGCAGCCTACAGCAGCCACCAAATCAGCTGCCTGATGCCATATTGGCCACGGAGGAGCCGGCCGAGCTCGAGCCTAAGCCGGCCGTCGACTCCAACCTGCTGGCCAGTCAGCTATCCACAGGACTAAAACAGGCAAGTGCAGTCGGCCAGACCACATCGGGTGGTCCCTTGACGGGGGCGGCCACAGGGGCACAGCAGCCTCAACCGCCCGGTCCTAACCCAATGCCACTTCAGAGTGCGGGCAGCGGACCGGGCCCAGCGCCGCAGGCGCCTCCCCTCCCCGATAGTACAACTTCGGATAGGTTCCATGCAGCAGGTTCCGGGGCAACCCCAAACCCCCTCGCGCCCTCAGGGCCAGCCGTCGGTGCTACGCCGAGCCAGTTCACTAGTGCACAACACGGCTCGGAGGCTCCCACTAGTTCCCTAGGGTCATCGGTTAGTAGCAGCTACAATATACAGAAACAAACCAAAAACCAACTCCATGACAACACCGTATCATCCTTCTTTTCAAATATATATATATATATGTATATATATATATATATAAATATATATATATATATATATTATAGCCCGCCTTCTTGTTATCTTGTTGTTCGCGCGTCCTTTCTCTTTGCTATCTCTGTTTTTATAGTTCTCTCACAATTATTTTATAGAATTACATTTCACGTCAGTGACGATTTTATGATGGACTGACTGAGTAGCAGTAGGCAACATTGAAAAAGATCAAACCGATTAGTTATCTGCACGATGAATGTACATAGATGTTACGTATTCTTCTTAACAATTCAGATTAATTTAATTATTATTAATGTGTTCTTTATTTTGGAATCATGGATGGCATGTGCAAAGTGTTACAAAAACTACTAATACTTTAAGTTCGTGTTGAGGGCGACCATCTGTGGGGTACGCGCCGCGAGCGCAAAAACGGTTATGGGAATGTTGTCACTAAAAGCTATTACAACAGTTATCAAAGAAACAAGATAGGTATGCATCTTGTGACGTAAAAGAAAGACAACATATATAGAAACATTTGCAAGATGTCGAAGTAAATGTGTATGTCTGATGTACTTGTATGCTGTATGGCGGTAGATTAGCGAGATGTTCATTAAGTATTTGCTATTACCCTTTTCTTAGGAGACTCAGCAGAACCAAAGTGGCCCAGCTGGAGGTGTTACATCGGTAGGGCCTCCGCCATCAGTAAACGCACCCGACAGTGTGCAAAGCATCAAACAGGAACCTCCCAGTTCAGTTCCTGATCATAACCCCGCCTCGGTCGGCGGTAAGGTTACTTCGGCCATCAAGCAGGAAGCTATGGACTTCGACAGTAAGCCTGCATCTGTAAAACAAGAGGCGCCAGGAAGCGTACAGAGTTCTCAGAGCGTTCAAGCCGAGATGAAGACTGAGAATGGAGATGTAAAAATAGAAGTGAAAGATGAGAAGCCGCCAAGTGTAGCGTCAAGTGAGACGGCAACGCCTAAACCAGCGGGCACCAAAGTGCCACGAAAGGCCTTTAAACCTGACGAGCTTCGGCAAGCGTTAATGCCGACACTAGAGAAGCTCTATCGACAGGACCCGGAGAGCTTACCATTCCGTCAGCCGGTGGACCCACAAGTGCTGCAGATCCCCGATTACTTCGACATCGTCAAGAAACCGATGGACCTTTCGACCATCAAGAGAAAATTGGATACTGGTCAATACAAAGATCCGTGGGAGTACTGTGACGACGTCTGGCTCATGTTCGACAACGCCTGGCTGTATAACCGCAAGACATCGCGTGTGTACAAGTACTGCACAAAGCTTGCAGAGGTGTTTGAGGCGGAGATCGATCCCGTCATGTCGTCATTGGGCTATTGCTGTGGCAGGAAGTACGTGTATCAGCCGCAAGTGCTCTGCTGCTTCGGAAAGCAGCTTTGTGCCATCCCCAGAGACACTAAGTATTTCAGCTACCAAAACCGTTATACATATTGCGCCAAATGCTTTGAGGTGAGTGTTTTTGTCCACGTTTCATGCAGAAAGGGGGCCTATAAGTTGAGGTACTTTGCCACTCAGGCAAATCGGAGCTAATAGGGAAAGTGAACTATTTTTCTGGTATAATAACTAAGTGTGTGCAAATAAAGCCATTCAGCTTATTTCTGGTTTAGTATAAATTGACTATATACTGTTAATCAAATAATAGTCCACCTGATCTTTTCTGAATACACTGAGATGTTTATATAGGATAGCCTACAGTATCAAATTGATTATGAACTTATTTTTTCAACGATGTTTCTTCTTTTCAGGAAATACCGGGAGAAACTGTAACAATATCAGATGACCCAACAGGTGCTAACCCACAGTGGCCTAGCCAAACGATTCCTAAAAAGCAGTTCGTTGAGATGAAGAATGATCATCTCGAGCTTGAACCTTTTGTCGAGTGTTCTGATTGCGGACGCAAACTTCACCAAGTTTGTGTTCTGCATTTCGGAAATATATGGCCAGAAGGATTCACCTGCGATGGATGCCTCAAAGCTAAGGGTGAGACATATTTTCATAAATGAAGTTCTCCTAGAAAGCGACTTTTAGTAATCGAAAACATTGTAAAGTGAACCATTTTCTTCTGCGAGTGCACACTGCTTTCTAGTTGTAATTTACCCGCAGTTGTCTATTTGCTATGGCTACATATCACCATCTATCATACATCATTTGTGGTCTGCTCGTCTCGGTTGTTTCTCTTCGTTGTATTACAGGATCGAAGCGACGCGAAAACAAGTTCTGCGCAAAGCGACTGCCGACGTGCAAGTTGTCCAATTTTCTCGAAAACAGGGTCAACACCTACTTGAAGAAGAAGAACTCGGGCGCGGGCGAGGTGTTCATTCGCGTCGTGGCCGTCTCGGACAAGATGGTGGAGGTTAAGCCTGGCATGAAATCCCGCTTCGTTGATACCGGAGTGTGGCCAGAGACTTTTCCATACCGCGCGAAGTGTATGTTCGCTTTTGAGGACATCGACGGCGCGGACACCTGTTTCTTCGGAATGCATGTGCAGGAGTACGGCCATGAGGCGCGCGCGCCCAACACCCGGAGAGTGTACATTGCGTACCTCGACTCTGTGCACTTCTTCAGACCCAAGCAGTATCGGACGGCAGTATACCATGAAATATTATTAGGCTATCTGGAATATGTCAAGCAACTAGGCTATGTTATGGCCCATATTTGGGCGTGCCCTCCGAGCGAGGGAGACGATTATATTTTCCATTGCCATCCTACGGAGCAAAAGATACCCAAGCCAAAGCGGCTACAAGATTGGTACAAGAAAATGTTGGACAAAGCAATCATCGAGAGAATCGTCATCGAATACAAAGATATCCATAAGCAGGCGCTAGAAGACAACCTCAAGTCGGCGAGCGAACTGCCCTATTTTGAAGGAGATTTCTGGCCAAATGTGCTGGAGGACTCGATTAAAGAGCTGGACCAAGAAGAGGAGGAGCGGCGCAAGCAGGAAGCACTGGCAGCAGATGCGTCATGTGAAGCCGACGAAGCTGATGGACCTGATGATCCCGCGAATCCGGGCAAGAAGAAGGCCCAGAAAAACCGCAAGAGTAAAAACCAGCAACGGAAAAACAACAAGAAGAGCAATTCGGCTCACGGTGGTAATGATCTCACCGGAAAGGTGTTTGCCACAATGGACAAACACAAGGAAAACTTCTTTACGATACGGTTACATTCAGCTCAGGCTGCCGCGAGCCTACCACCCATCAATGATCCCGATCCGTTAATGTCATGTGAGCTTATGGATGGCCGAGATGCGTTCCTAACGCTAGCTCGCGAGAAACATTATGAGTTTTCATCGTACCGTCGGTGTCGTTACAGCTCGATGGCTATGTTGTACGAGCTACATAACCAGAACAAGGACTCGTTCGTGTACACGTGTAACAGCTGCAAAGCCAACGTCGAAACACGTTACCATTGTACCGTGTGCGACGACTTCGATCTCTGTGTACCGTGTTACAAAAAGGATGGCCACCCTCACAAGATGGAACGGTTAGGTCTCGATCTCGACGACGGTTCAGGCGGCAGTGACTCGTCGAGTGTGTCCGGAACCGCCAATCCCCAGGATCGACGCCAGTCGATTCAGCGTTGTATCGCATCGCTGGTGCACGCATGCCAGTGCCGCAATGCCAACTGCTGCCAGCCGTCGTGCCAGAGGATGAAAAGGGTCGTCACGCACGCGAAATCATGTAAGCGAAAGACCAATAATGGCTGCCATATTTGCAAGCAGCTTATAGCGCTATGCGTATATCATGCCAAGCACTGCCAGGAGGCGAAATGTTTGGTTCCATATTGTCCCAACATCAAAGCAAAACTTCGTCAGACTCAGTTGGAACAACGGGTGCTGCAGGCCCAAATCCTTAATCGGCGCATTGCCGCGATGCAAAATCGCGTTATGTCGAGCACAGCCAGTTCGACGGCAGCCAACATGACCGGCGTCAGCTCCGCCTCGGCCGGCGGTGCCTGCTCGTCCGCACCTGCCGCGCAACCCACGCAACCGTCACCCGCGCCAAGTCCGTTAGGCGGTGGCACTATGAGCGGCCTACCAGGCGGCGGGATGTCACAAGGAAAACCAGGAAGCGGACCGTCACCGGGCGTCATGCAAGCTCTACAACATGTCCAGGCATCCGTGGCACGGTAAGCATTATAAAAATTACGGATAATGCTTAGAATACTGAATTTTGTAGCACATCATTGAGACCTATATGTTCTTGTTATTACATTTGATACACCACTGTGCGACACAATGGGGTGATTTTTATAAAGTGAGTAACAGGTGCATGCATTAATCGATCAACAACTTCATCAACGTAGTTCGCGCAGCGAACCTCTGGCAGGGCCTCATCTCAAATATGTCAGTATGACAGTTTTTTGTTTAAGGTGTAGAGGTGCATTAGCGCATGTAAATAGCCATGTTTATGATTTATTTTTCACCGTTACAGACAAACTAGCCAAGCGGGTCATATGATGCAAGGAGGAGGTCAGTACGGAGGCGCAAACAACGGCGGCTCGATGGGCCCTGGAGGTGGTGTAACAGGCGTGGGAGGAGGTGGTAAGCCCATGGGCGGTGTAGGTGGCCAACAAATGGGGGCGCCCGGCGGCCCTCAGATGTCCGCTGGGCCCGGTGGACCGATGCAGCCGCAGCAACAACAGCAGCAGCCGCAGCGGCCCATGAACCCGGGCACGATGGGCCAACAGCGCTGGGAGTCGCCGCCACCCGGCTACCAACAGGGCAGTCAACAGCAAATGGTGTCACAGCAGCAACAAATGGGCCAGCCGGGGCCGGGCCAACAGCAGCAGCAGCAGCAACCACAACAGCAGCAAATGACCGGTCCCTCAAATCAGCCCCAGATGGGTCAGATGGACCATGGAGGGCCCCAGCCCGTAGGTATGGGTCAGCAGCCCATGGGGGGCCTCGGTGGCCAGCCAGGCATGGGCCAACAACCCGGCATGGGTCAAGGTCGTGGACCGGTGGCCATGGGACCTCCTCGTGGCGGCCAAGCTATGAACCCACTTCAACAGCTTATTCAAACCCTTAAGAGCCCATCTAGCCCACAGCAACAGCAACAGGTACTGTCCATTCTCCGAGCGAACCCGCAGCTGATGGCTGCCTTTATCAGACGCCAGCAAAATCATCAACAGAGTCAACAGCAGCAACAGCAGCAGCAACAACAACAACAAAATCCGCAGGTACGTTACGGTGTTAGAGAGGTGACAAATGGTAACAGTTGTCGTTGTTGTTATTGAAGTATTACTGTTATAAAGTTAGTACTATGGTGCTGAATACAGTTGTATTAAATGCGCTAGCGAAGCAAGCTGGTGATACTGAAAAAGTTGTTCGCGATCATATTAAAGGCTCTGCTATAATTATATATTGCTTGTAAACAGCTTGTGGGGAGCTTCCGTGAGAAGTTAACAGCTGATTGAGGTGTATATACATAATACATATAAATATGTACATTTACATTTTTTAAACCATCGAATTAATAATAAAATTATTTCGTGATGTTATGATATTATTACATCACGTTTATTTTTTTTCTATTCTTCTCTGGCAGGGTCAACAAGCAGGCGCTGGACAGCCGCAGATGGGCCAGGGCGTCGGTGCGGTAGGGGTGAACCCCCAGCAAGGTGGTATGGTTCCAGGCGCACCCCAGGTAGGCGGTCAACAGCAGCAACAGCAGCAGCAACAACAGCAACAACAGCAATGGGGCTACCAACGGCCGCAGATGGGCCCTGGCCAGCAACAGCAGCAAATGATGCAACAGCAACGGTTTCCCGGACCTGGCCCCCAGCAGGTCATGTATCAACAAAGAGTTGGAGGACCTCAACAGCAGCGTGTATATCATCAGGGCCACCAACAGTTTCAGCAGTCATTAACAGGCTATCCGGGTCAGAATCAACAGGCTATGGGCTCACCAATGGGCGCGCCGATGATCAATTCGCCACCGCCAAACATGGTCACCCGAAGTCCACAGCCACAGCCAAGCCCACGACCATCACCTTCGCCGCGCGGCGGTTACGTAGGCGGCGGCGGCGGAATGGGCGGAGGCGGTGGACCAGATGACGCCCTAATGGGCGGTCACATGGGCGCCCACATGGGTCAGCAGCCAGGGCCATCCGACCAGGGTATGGCTGGCCACGCCACACATATGGAAACCGACCAAATGGCGGCAGCTATGCAACAACAGCAACAGCAGCAGCAGCAACAACAACAGCAGCTCACTCCGCAGGAACAGCTAAATAAGTTTGTAGAGAATCTGTAAATTCGATTGTGCATACCTATATAT